CCTTTAGGAAGTGTGTGGAAAATAGCATCTCCGAGCTCTTACAAATGCCGCCTGTGAAGCTTATATTAATCATATTAGTACTATTAATATCGTCTTTACTTTGAAAAGTGTGTGATAAATAACATCCCAGAGCTCTTACAAAAAACTGGTCTGTGAAGTCTACATTAATAAATGATAAATATCTCTATTTGAGAAAGTGTGCAGAGCTCTTAGAAAATAAAGTGGTTACTGTGCCCGATTTGCAGTACATACGACAGGTTTTGCGTAGCTAAATGTCGATAATCAAGTATCTGCGCACCTCGCCTGGCTGTTTGCAACCAATCGATGCGCTACGTGCTCGACAAAAAAGTTTACATCACGTCCAATCGCGAGGGCGAGAGACGGTCTGATCGTGCAACAGATCCAGTCAGAGTCGCAGGTCGGCAGGTATTGCCCAATCAGGGCGCGAGTTAATTGCGTCACGCTTTTGAATATATTTGTAATTTTAGCATAGTTAGGTCGAGTCAGAAAGGTAGGCGCGGTCGGTAAGATGGAACGAAAATATATTAGACAGGCCGGGTGTAGCCATGCGAAAAGGCAGGAAAAAGCAGCAAGAAAGGAACCGGACGGACTTATTGACAGACGGACGGACAGGCTGCAAGTTTAGGTGGCGGGAAATTAGCGGTCTGGGCGTCCGCTCCGCGGACGCTAGGGCATGGTTGGTTGGTGTAGAGAGGGCCGACTACCTCCGCTGCGCTGCGGTGGGTTTAGAATTTCTACTCAAAGCGAAGCAACATATAGTACATGTATACTGTGATCTACGTATATTACGTTCCAAAAAAACACCGCACACAGTATCCTTAGTGCTCACATGTTATGGTAGACACGACCAGGGTTTAACGTGATCTGCAAGAAGAGCACCATCTTACCCGGAAAGGTTCTGTCTATAATCTCGTTTGAGCGCTTTGCTCCCAAAATGACACGAATCGGAGGCGCGCGTGGCTGCAAAGCTAATATATGCTGTTCAGAAGACGGGTCAGTATCAATGATGCTTCGAAATTGGCATACATCGGTGAGGAATCCCAGGTTACCTGGAGTAAATATCCTACTCAAACATCTTACCATCTGCACGTAGGCAGTCGACACCGTATCTTTGATTGCGACGGTCTATTAGAGCACGGTTTGGTCGGCTCCTCGCGTGAGGTATCTTTTTTCAGGTAGTATTTGCCGATGGGCGCCACAAACACCAATATTATGCCTTGAAATTGTTCCGCTGAACTCTTTATGATATTACTGAAGGGCAATCCACTATCTTCCGCATACATTGATCTTACGTGCATAGCTGACGTTCTTACTGGCTTATTTCCGTAGCTACTGACTGACAGAGTGGCGTAGATCCTTTCCGAGTGGCATTTACTGGTTCCGATATGTATGCCGAACATAGGAAGCCAGATGACTGTAGGATGATTATCTGATCGTATACATCTTAGACTTG